ATGGTATGTTCAGTGTATTTCCTTTCTAAAACCTGAAAAATTCTGTCCCCAGGGGTTTTGTATAAGGGATTACAAAGTAATAATGTCTCAGATAACAGTTGAATGGGAGAAATTCTGATTATGATGTTGGTGAAATTAAATATCACTGAACTTGATACTCTTGTTCTTGTGACCCAAAGAAAAAGAAAATACTATTTCCAGGTGTATCCTGATGCTTTCCACCATTGCTGATGGCTCTGGAAGGCTTCCTACTAGACTCTGAATGTGGCACATGGAACTTTGATCTTTGTATCCCAAAGCTGACTGAGCTCAGAGAGTTCTTCTGGATTTAATGTTAGGTCCTTTGTGTGTGTGTTCAACTTGTTAATTATTTATTCTGCTTATAGTTTAAGCTGAGGGATTTTTTTTTCTTGTTGAACTTTTTATTGACTAGATCATAAAATCACTTAAAAGGAATTATGTGATATGGGCATGTGAGTTCAATTCCTTCAACCATCTTTATAATATCATGTAAATTTCTAAGTCTAGAGATTTGAAATAATGATTTGGGAGGGTGTGAATCATGACAGAATTTCTTGGTGATTTTTAATTGATCAAATTTCTTAAAATTTGAAAGCTGATAATCAGTGCAGGGGCTCTTGATCTGAGACTTAGGTAATGTCATCAGGATCCTTGTACCTTTTTATATTATATACATTTTCTCCATTCATTGTATGGTTTGTTGTGTTTTGTTCCTGAAAAGAGATAGTCATTGCTTTTTATAAGATTCTAAAGGACTCTAAGACAAAAAAAAAAAAAAAGCTATAGAACTAATTCAGGATTTCAGTCTTATGTTAATTCATTAGTATTTTAAAATCTTCCTAAGGAAAAAAAAGAGACAATCGGCTCAGTCACTGGATAAATTGTGCCTTTTTTCTTTATGTGTGCCTATGTATTCATTCCTGTTTGATCCAAGGCTAATTAAATCCACCAAATTGATGAATAGATGGAAAATTCCTGCCTCCAAAAATTAATTTCATTACCTTCTCCATTTCTGGCCCCTATTCATAATCTTTATTATGATCTTTCCACATCCAAAATTGATTTGGGATTGTATTCTTAAGATATACCAAATGCTTCCTCTTTTGTGAACTCTGTCCTGCATGTAATCTTGCCTTTCTCTGAAACACAACAATATAACATCATAATCAGTTTATGTATGTGTTCATCTCTTTTTGTCACTCCCCTTCCCTTACTTTTCTCTAGGCATTAAATTGTCAATTCCATGCAAGGACAGGAGGGAGTGGCAGGGCTTACTCATATATCACAGGCTCAAGAGCTCACAGTATCTTCTTGGTGGTGGTTCAGTAAATATTTGAATTGAAATAGGAAACACATATTATGAAACTACAATCACAATATTGGAGTTAATAAACTTTCATGTTTACATTTATTTTTGATAAATTGTATGAGGAACTTAGTTATTGCCCAGTGTGCTTGTTGGAGCCCCCAGAGCATCATTGACATGCTTTGGGGGACCTGAGTGGGAGATGGTACAGTCCTACTCTCTTTTTTCCCATATTTTTATTGGTATATTATAGTTGTACATAATGTTCTCAAATTCCATCTGTTTTCTTGCATGTAACATAATTTCATTCTTCTTTATGGTTCAGCTATAAAGAACTAATCAGAGCAGCTCTTTATTAGTTGATTAATATTTGAGGTCTGGAGGGAGATTTGATGTGCTAAAAGTGTTCTGCTAAAATTGACCAAACCCTCCTCTTGTCCCTCTGTGGCTGATCCCTGATTTTATACCTGAGGACAATGTATGATTGCATGGGTCATGTGTTCCAGAAAGTCCGTGGGGATGGAACCCAGTCCTGAGTGTCCTAATTCCTGGCCTCTTCTTCTACTTTCTGCCCCTCAAATGTTCTACTACTTTATAGGAATCATTTGAGAATCAAGAAATGAGAGTTCTGTGGGGTTCTAGGGATGCAAACAGGGGCAAGACATGCAGCAGCAACTTGCTTCATGGAGAGTGGTAGTAGGTAGTAGGCAGTAGCCACTAGCAGTACTATCTCCTCCTTTTATCTAAAGATGAAACTTTCTAGATAATTCTCTGTCTAATGTCTCTCACACAAAACAACATAGCTGTGGGGTAGAAGTGTTCCAAACTACAATATGGTGATGGTCACACAACTGCATAAATATTTCAAAACACACCAAACTGTGTAGTTAAAATGGATGCATTTTATGGCATTTAAATTGTCCTTCATTAAAACTGTTTTTCAGTAAAGCAGGAGACACCTACCCTTCTTAGCTTATAGGGAAACTGTAAGCATAAAGCAAAATGGCCCTGTGAAACATTTTAAAAGCATGTTAGCACTTTCTTGGCAGTATTTTCCCACTGTTACTACCAGTCAATTCCACAGCCATTTATCGATCCTCATAGGCACCAAAACATAGGAAAAGGATGACAGAGATACATAGGAAGAGCCTTATATATAATATAATGCCAAGTATTTTGAAAGTGTGAACTGGAAATTTCTCTCCTCTTCTATGGAGTTTCTTCATGTCAGGGTGCCTTCTGCTTTGAATAGTGAATACCTACCCAACCCCAAAGTTGTGGTAAACAATCAGTTTATTTATTTTTGTTAGTTGTAGTTGGACACAATATCTTTATTTTATTTACTTATTTTTATGTGGTGCTGAGGATCGAACCCAGCACCTCGCATGTGCTAGCCATGTGCTAGGCGAGCACTCTACCACTGAGCCACAACCCAGCAACAATCAGTTTATTAAGTCCTCTAACAAGAGATCCAGAGACAGGTCCCCTGAAGCTGGTGCATTTGAAAGACATCTCAGCAGTGTCAGAGCTCAGTGTCAAATTCTTGGCTTTCTTCTCACAATTGAAGCATGATTGCAACAGAGCAAACATTGCCCTGCCTTCCAACAAAGATAAAACAATGTTTAAAGCAAAAAGGCAGGGGCAGCTATTTCCAAGTCTTTTTTCTCTCTTTTAACCAGGAAACAAAATCTAATCGCCCCACCCCAAGCAGAGTATCTCTCACATTTCATTGGCTGTAAGTAGATCACATGTCTAACCCTAGATCAATCACCAAGAAAGGCGAGTGAGGTTAAAATTACTTGCCTGGACAGATTTTACTCTTCCCTAGAGCTGTGGAAGGCTTCTCCATTCCAGAATATAATGCCTGAATTAATTAGGCTTCTGTGAACCAGGAAGTGGGCTGCTAATGGCTGCTGGGAAGTCAACCAACAGCAGTCTATCATACTTTAAACTTTTTTGACTGAAAGGAATAAAGTATGACCTGTCCCTTCTTTCTTTGTTGTCCATGGGCATCTGATAATTCTTTGTGAAATGTCCCCTGATTTCCATCCAAAGAATTACTGTTAAAGCAAGGACCCTGCAGGGCAGTTCTTTAGTAATACTGTATGTGTTTGTGTTGTTTTAAGTTTTGAGGTCAGGTAGTCATATTTCACAAGCACAGTCAATAGGAAAAGAACATTTGACCAATTCAGATAAGGGAAGCTTTTGCTACTCCTAATCAAAAAGAGATGGAACATTTGTAACTATGTGGGTTTAGGAAAATGGTCTTGATGGGATTTAGAATTAGTGTCCCTCAATACAGGTTAATGAGCAAAAGCCATCTTAAGTCCAGGGTTTTCAACATGAGGATAGGGGATATGACTGATGTCTTTGTTTTCTGTGCAGTGGCTTAAAGATATCTGCAAAGAACTAAGTGATCCCTTCTCCTTCTCCCTTCCCTTTTCCTCTCCCTTCCCTTTTCCTCTCTCTTCCCCTCGCCCTCTGTCTCTCCTTTCCCTTCCTTTTTCCTCTCCCTCTTTGTCATATCTCAACCATAGATCACAGTGTGTCTGTATTATGGATTTTAAATTGCGTTTATTTTATGTATCATTATCTTTGATTGATGAGATGTTCACCAAAATAAAGAACTGCATTTCAGTGACATAAAGTATAAAAGGGACAGTATAATTGATACTTATGTATATAGCTTTAGGTTATTATCTGTCTGCAGGAACTGGCCTAAGCCTTGGGAAATATCTAAGGATATTCAAAGCCATTAGACTTATTGACTCTGGTCAAGAAGAATAAATGCCTGTTCTAGTAGATACTAGTTCTTGAATTTTTCTTTCTACCTCTTGTCCTAAGTCATAAAAGCTGAGTTTTCTAAGTCTTCACTTCTCAAATCCCCTACACGTGTTTTCATTGTCTTTACCAGTGCTTTCAGGTATGATATGATGTCAGACAAATTTCCAAAAGCATATAATTCAGGACATACTTGAATTGATTTTGAGTGGCCTTAGTATTTTTCCCTCTTTGAGGATTATGTATTTCCTGGCTAATCAACAGTCCCATCAGTGAATAAGCAGGTTCCCACATAGAGACCATGGGATGTATTGGAACAGGTTCATCCCTTCCCACACATATATGCATAAAGAATATTCTGTCAGCATTCATTGGCTGTTGTGGTTGACACACATACACACACAAATATATCAACATTTATCTCTTAAGACATACCATAATGATGTAATTTTTCATTGTTCTATGTACCATGTTGGCTTTATATAATATATAAATATCCTTTTTCTGATTTTGTAATGTGTGAAAGAAGGCAATAGGACAACATGTAAGCTTTTTGCTCTCTGTAGATGTGTGCTTATGCATGCACCTAAAGAGTTTAAAAAATGGTACACATCTGTTTTCCTGAAACCAAGAATGACTTTTTGCTTTCTTCCTGCAAAGTAGCCAGTGGCAGTTCACAATTTGTGAGGGGAAGAATGCAGACAATAAATATGAAGCCTACAATGAACACTCTTCGGGAATTTTCTTAGGGTGGCGCTAGCTTTATGCAGTTGTAATGGCCTACCTATTAAGTGTGCCTTTCTCTGATGTTAATGTGACAGAGAGCCCCTTCTCCTGGGGCAGCTCATTAGATAAAACACCTTAAAGGTTGTGTTTTCTTTTCTTCTTACAGGCAAAGATTACTGCAAAGTAATATTTCCATATGAGGCACAGAATGACGATGAATTGACAATCAAAGAAGGAGATATAGTAACTCTCATCAATAAGGTAAATGAAGGTTCTCTCTTGCCTTCTAAACTGTGGAGTGTTTTGGTGTGTCCATGGAATAATACAAAGTTTTGCTTTAGCCTTTGAAGCTCCTAGTTTTCATGATCCTGACCTTGGGAGAAAGAATTTGTATTTTTTCCTTTGATCAGATTAAGTCTAGGTGAATGAATGAACTTGAGAATAGAATAGGTTTCTGTTTGCCTTAGGACCAGTTGTAGATTTGCACGGCCCTGTAGAAAAAGTCTGTCCCAGAAGGAATAGTTCAGGAAGCAGCCTGCTTGGCTATAGGTTTTGCCCTCTACAGCAGCTGGGCTGCAAAGCTCTGTGTCATGAAGGACCCAAGAGGGGCTTTAAAAAGACTGGTCATGCCTCACAGGCAGAAAACACTTAAAGAATGTTTGCTCTACAGATCAAAGACAGGTAAAGTGCCTGAGAGAATTTTGCTTGTCTTGTTTGGACTAAGAAGGTTGGACAATTTTATTATCATTACAGCCAGAGCCCTGTAAACACCAGGAGAGCTATAAAATCCGAGTGAAGCCATGCGGTTTGCTGGGTCTTGACCACATACCATTTCTGCATTCATGCAGCACTCCTCACCAAGTCGCTAGTTGAGTCATATTATTCAAGTGATTCCTAGAACTCTTTGGTCTTTTCTCTGATGTACAGAGTTTTTATGATGGTCAGTGGGATTTGCCTTTATGATTAAGGTCAGCTACTTCTAGGAAATAGCTTTGGAGATTGTGTTTAAAGAGCCTAGTCCAAAAATGCGAGGGAATCGAGGATCCCAGAGGTTAAGTAGCTTGCCAAAGGTCAGATGTATTTTAGGGGAAGAGCTGGTCCTTTCAAGGACTCAGTATCAAAGTGGAGCTTTGCAGACACCTATCTGGAATAGCAAAATTATTCCATTTTGCAGATTACCTAAAAACTCGTCCATCTTTTTACCTGTGAAATATTCTACCTCTTAAGTTATTTCAGTATAGTTCTGTGGGTGTTGAATGTGGCAGGAGGAAATGAGAGGAGGGGAAGATGCTTGCCTTGCTGTTAGTTCCTTTCTGCAAATGAAGCAGGAATGGTTCTTCCTTTTTTTTTTTTTTTTTAACCACCCCTCCCCTCATCCTTCTGCTGGCCTCCTTTGGGCTGCTCTCTTATGCATTATGCATTCCTATTTTTAATCAGACCTGTAACCAAACAAACAGGATAAGGAAGTTGTTAAACAGGCATGAAGCATAATACAAATGCTTTAATAATTAGCACCAATAATTGATTTTAGTAATACAGGGAAAGGGATGGAGTGTTCCCCCCCTATAATGATAAAGCAACCAGAGAATTAAATAGATGCCATTTTTTGAAGGCAGGTGGGGCTCATTGCCCTATTTTTTAGAGGAGGGGATAGCCCCCCCTTTTTTTCTTGGTACTGGGGATTGAACCCAGAGGTGCTTATCCACTGAGCTACATCCCAGCTCTTTTTTATACTTTATTTAGAGACAGGGCCTCACTAAGTGCTGAGTCTGGCTATGAACTCAAAATCCTCCTGTCTCAGCCTTCCAAACTGCTGGGATTACAGACATGTGCCACCATGCCCAACCCAGTCTGCTCTTTTTTATTCTTCTTTTTAATTTTAAATCTGTTGTGCCCATAAAATTTAATAGGGTTTGAGAAAAGAAAAAAACACCATGGTTAATCTCTTACCTGAACATGTTGATTTCTATCTTAACACATCATAACCCAGTCCTTCCTTGCCATTTGAGTCCATGTCATGATGAGAACATATTCATCTTTTTTTTTTTTTTTTTTTTTTTTGTACCAGGGATTGAACCTAGGGCACTTAACCACTGAGCAACATTCCTAGCCCTTTTCTGTAGTTTATTTAGAGAGAGGGTCTCACTAAGTTGGTTAGGGCCTCTCAAAGTGGCTAAGGCTGGATTTAAACTTGTGATCCTCATGCCTCAGCCTCCAGAGCTATTGGGATTACAGGTATGCATCACCACACCCAACAAGAACATATTCATCTTGATGATTTTGTCCTTAACCTCATAGTTTAAGATCCAGTCTGAGGGCTGGGGTCGTGGCTCAGCGGTAGAGCGCTTGCCTAGCACATGCGAGGCCCTGGGTTCGATCCTCAGCACCACATAAAAATATATGAATAAAATAAAGGTACTGTGTCCAACTACAACAAAAAATAAATATTTAAAAAATAAAGATCTAGTCTGATAAAAGGAATCTGATTTTTCCGAAGACCTTGCGGGGAACATCTACCAGTCTAAGTCACCCAGTAGGGAAACATGAATAGGCCAGAGTAGCAGGCTGCTTTCAAGAGTATCCAGAGGGTTGTTGCATCCCATTTCTCTGCTTTCATTGATTTTATTTAATGTATTCAGAAGGAGTTTGATACTACATTTGCAAAATGTGCTGCTGTCATCTCCTGTGTACACTTAGTCCCTCAACCTGACTTACACACTGATCCTAGAGTGCATGTATTGTTTTGACACTTGGTCCCCTGGTTATACACTGCCCCCTCCCCCAAGCTGTTTACCGGTATCCCTGCCCCTTCCTGTCCATGTAGACACAGCCCAGGCCTGTGGGCCCAATAAGCAGTGGTCCAGCCTCCTTCTCTGTGCCTGGTCCAGAGGAAAGCCCTGGGGTGGTAAAGGATGCTTTTTCCAACTCCATTCATGCTCCATCTGCCTCATCTGTAGCACCTCAGCCCCTTCTTCTTGTCATCCCATAACAATGCTGTGCTCACATGACCTCTGTGCACCAACCAATCTTGGGTAGTTTCTCCTTCCTTTTTGGAAAAATCAAGACAATGATTGCTGACACTCCTTTCCTCAGGCATTCTGCCACAGTCCCTTTCTGGCCTTGGTCCTTGTGACTGTTCTGCAGGAACCTCCTGTGTCCCCATCCTGCTCTTGTGTCCTCAGAAATCTGATCCTAAAAAGCATATGTGTTCCTGCTTCTTGGGCTGTCCTCTGCCTACCCGCTGAACTGTCTCTTTGAGAGCTAATAACAGCCAGTCTTCACTCATGTACTTGAGCCCATTTTGAGCTTATTTAACAAAAATTCCTAGTGCTCTAACATTATGTTTTTATTATTATTTCATATGATCTTCTGGGAAATCGGGTCTCTTGTTGTCCTGTACTGGTGCAGGTTTTATTTTTATTCCCATAAAATTCCTGCCATCCTTGACTTAGCATTCTAGTTTGTCAGAAACAGCATGTTAAGATACAAGTCATGTAGGCTACCAGCTCAGAGAAACCAGGATTTGAATCTCAGCTCCATAGTTCCGGGCTGTGTGTTTTAGGGCATGAAACTTAACCCCTCTGAGCCTCAGTGTCCTCAGCCATAGTGTAAAGGCCACAGAGCTGACCTCACAGGGCTGCTGAAGGGAATTACTAAGACACTATGTACAAAACACCTCTTGCAGGAAGGATTCTGCCAGTGGTACCCATAAGCCTAAGAATTGTTAATTCAACTTCAACTGCTATTTCTTGGACTTCAGAGATGGGAATCAAGGGCTCTTGTGTCTGGGCTTAGCTGTTAGGGCTGGACTATGACATTAAGTGGGTAAAAATGGTAGAGGGAGGGGGGAGAGAGAGAGAGAGAAGAAATCCACTTAAAATAATTAAGAATTCACAGTGGGTACAATTTTAGCAAGAATTTGGAAGGAAAACATGCCCTAAATATTTAGCTTGCTGAAAGCTGTAAAAATGGAGTCTGAGCCTATAACCCTGGTGACATTCTAGAAAATACTTACTTCTTCCTCTAAATTCAGGAGTCACCCAGAAGTCAATTTAGATGATTATTTACTATTATAAATATATTCACCCTGCTTTGTTTAATATGCATTTTTGGGCTACTCAGGATTCAACCCAGGGGTGCTCTGCCACTGGGCTACATCTCCAGACCATTTTATTTTTTATTTTAAGACAGGGTCTCACTAAATTTCTGAGGCTGTCCTGCAACTTGTGATCCTCCTGCCTCAGCCTCCCAAGTAACTGGTGTTACAGTCATACACCAGCGTGCCCGGCTTAATGTGCGTTTTGATATGCGTATGTGTTGTATGTTTGAGTTTTGAGGTAAAAGACCTGAATTGCTGTTCTCTAAATTCAATTGCATTTGCTATGAGATTCTCCATTGGCCTTGAATTCTGCTGATACTGCCTTTTGTAGTCAGTTGGGGTGGGTTTCCCTTTGCCCTGCTTTTCCATGCTGTGGCAGGAGTCACAGAGCTGGAGTTGCCCTCATTTTTAGCCCTAGATTGTCAGTTCTTGTGGCTTTCTAGAAAATGAGTCAGACACCTTTAGTGGGAGTCTATAAGCCCTCTATGGTTCCTGAAATAATGTGCAAAGACCTAAACTATTTGTGTGTGTCCCTGGAAACTGAGATGTGGCAAGCTGAATGATTTGTTTTTTAGTTTATTTATAAAGAATTCTTGTGGATTTGGGAACATTTCCCACTTGTGCAGAACACACCTGTGTTTAGGTTTTATTTCCAGTCACTCAAAAATAGCTCCTGCGTCTGTGTTCCTGCCGCCCCCATCCCTGCCTTCCTGATTTGTGCTCAGAGGATGTTTGGGAAAGTTCAGAAGCCTCTGGGTCTGGATTCAAAATAGAGAAGATCCCTGGAGGAGGACAGAGGGCTGCTTGGTGGGAGCCAGGTCAAGGCTTAGCTCTAAGACTGTCAGCCCTTAGAGGCTGTACTGAATGGGACCCTTGCCACTTGGGACAGAATGAGCCCAGATGTGGAGAGGCAGTATACCTTCTCTTGGTCAACAGCCTCCCAGCCTCAGAGCATTGGACCTTTGTTTATGGTCCTTTCTAACCAGGAGGAAGGGATTCCTATTGGCCCCTTTGTAAACAAAAATCTTTAGGTCTTGCTTATAAAATTATCTTCCTTGGTTAGCTGTGTCTTTGATCCTTAAAAATATGCACTACCCCTGCCTTCCTTGTTACACGCTTGTTTGATAACATCAGGATCCATGCTTAGAAAGATTATAGTATT